TTCATGAAGTTGAGTTTGATTAAATTCGGTGCTGGTTTTTTGGTAACACTGGCAATCAATTGATAGTCTTGCTCTTGCAACAATGTTTCATTCTTTTCTTCACGAGATCCTGGGTTTAAATCACGCTGTGCCTTAGTTAGATTTTTTTTTTGAAGTAAAAGGCAGGAGTTCTGCTGCTCAATTAAGTAAGAGAAAATAGAGGTTTATGTACAAGTGGCACTCATGGTGCCAGACCCCTGGTCCTAGGACCAAAAAAGAACTCGTCTCCCTGCACTAGTTGGCTTCCCCAACAATGGCCACAGCCCTGTGCCTCTGCACTATGTGTTCTTTGGTCAAGGAGGCGACCTGCTGCGCCCGTCCCCTGTACTTATTTTCAAATATCCTCCTATTCCTCTCCTTTCACAGATTCCACCAAATATAAATACATACTCCATTGAAGCGCCAGCGGTGGTATGTATATTACTGCCGTCTGCTCCCACCATTCTGCAATTGAGAGAGTTTCTGGATGGGGGAGTTGCACAGCGAAATTTTCCCAAGATAGAACTTAATCCCAAACAGCTGTAGCGTAGGGGCATAGCAAAGAAAGATGTAGCCCTGTCTCTATCGGACCATTACACAAGACGCGTGAGTTGGATTTTTTTAACTTCTATACAGTTTGTAGTGCTTTTATGATTGCAATATAAGCAGAGCATCTATTCAACTTCATGTGGTCTATCTTTTTTCTGTTTTTTTCTTGAATTCAAACCAAACATGGCTAGAAGTAGAACAGTGGCAACCTTTATCCACTTCAAATGCCTTGATGTGCTGAACTTTCTGTTGCTGCTGTAACTTGCAATAGCATATGAATCTGAATGTACCATTGCCAAGAAACAAGTGAACAAAATACCAATGCTGTTGCTTCAGGAAGGCTACTGTCTCTGATAACTATTATCAGGACTGTGCAGTTGAAGCTCCGATCCGAACTAGAAAGACAAGCTTGTTGGATGCAACACGCCATGGATAATGGATTTCTTTTTTGGCCAACGGATATTTGGGGTGCTGATGTTTATTTGGGACCATAGTATATACAATAATTCTGTGGTCGATTGGAAATTGTGAAGTTGCTGAAATCTCATGAAAATTCTTATACCTTAATATATTGAACAAATTATGGGCACAGTCCTTATATACCTTCTTAGTATATACAATAATATATTGAACAAAATTATTAGTATATACAATAATATCTTGAACAATACTCCCTCCGTTCCAAATTATAAGTCGCTTTGACTTTTTTTGTTCATCAATTTTGATATGTATCTAGATATATTATTATATCTATATGCATAGTAAAATGGATGTACCAAAAAAGTCCAAGCGACTTACAATTTGGAACGGTGGAGTACCTTCTTATATACCTTAAAAATATTGAACAATAACACTTAGTGGCTTTATGTAAACTCACACATTATGGGCAGATACTTATTGTAAAAAGTTAAGTAACTCTTAGATAGGATCCTATTCTTTTTATAAGAGTTCTTTCAACTTCTAAATCTTATATGGTTAAACAACCTAACTTAAATACTTAAATACTGCATACAAAATGATTTAAATAGTTTATTTATGAAGAGTAACATGGACCATATATTGCTAACTGCTATGTATTCACGCAAGGTTTAGATTTTTGGAAGATAAAATTGAGATGTAAAACATTATATGTTCTGATGTCCGGGACTGTTGTTAAACTAATTTTTTAACTGCTGGTCAAATAATAAAACTGATTTCAGACTTGAATGAATCAACTTTATTTTCCTAGAGGAAAAGGAAAAAATACTACCCTGGACAATATTGTCTAATCTCGCTACAGTAAACAGTCAGATATAGCTAATAATGCTCCGTTCTGTTATTTTTTGTGGTGGAGATTGTTGATGAGAAAGGCACAAGACATTACGTGATTGAAATATGCACTTGCATCTTCCAGAAGATGCTCGATGGAATTTGTTGTCCATTTGCCAGACAACAAATTGATGTAAGGATATGCTCGATGTGCTTGGTCAAACCTGTTGAATATTAGTGTTTATGTCAATATCTTTCTTGTGGAATTAAATAGCAAGTGTAAAACCTCAATGGCTATTTGAAAACTGATAGTTCTGATATCACACGGGCTAAGACATCAATGGGATCATATGTTCCGTCTACTATTTTTCTATAAATTACATGAAATTTTTGGATAGCATTCAGATCTTCAGAAAATTTTGAGAAACAAATGATGAAACGGAAGGCATAAGTATGTTCAACGTTCAAACATGTAACAACTAGCTAGCTTATCCTGTCCATACTTACTAACCAACGACTCCTGTACAGGATCAGGATCCTTCGTTCTCCTCTGCACAACTGGGCGCTGGCACTCGGCAGTTGGCACAGGATGACTACGGCCGTGGCTGTAGGCCTAACCGTCAGTTATTAGTTAAGTTGTAAGAGCCAAATCACAACAGTGGTCTCTTATTTGTTTATAAGAAAAATTTATAAGAATTTTTTTTATTAATTCTATCTATATCTTACTTTCTCTTTTCTAATCCTTCTCATGTTCACTTAATTTTAGGCCCACAACTACACATGCTTAGGGCGCGATTGGTTCCGCTCCAGGCTCAGCCTGGCTCAGATCCATCAGCCAGGCTCGTCGGCACCAGGCTCAGTGCATGCGAGTCACGTACGTTTGCATGCTTGCTTCGCTGCAGCCAGGTCCGCAAGGGAAGTTGTTTAGTTGTCGCTCGTCCCGCATTGCTACTCTCTGCGTCCATGCCATGCGAGCGCGCTCTCTGCACCGCGCCGGCCAGGCCGGAAAGAAACGGAATCCATCTGCTTGTCCTGGGAGCCACCGCTCGGTCGTTTTTGGCTTATAAGTCATGGTTTATCAGTCAACGAACAATATTTTTTTCTTATATCAAACCAGACAACAGTATTTTCAGCCATGACTTATAAGCCAAACAAGCTTAAACGAACAGGGCGCCAGCTTGGCGAGGAATCTTGCATGCAGGCGGACAGGCTATGGCAGGCAGGCATCCACGCGGCCAGCCAGGTCGGGCTGCTGGCTTCTCCGAACCAATCACGCTCTTACGTGCTCAGCTTGTTATTTGTATAAGAGCAAAACTCTCATCTCTCTCCTCCCCTTCTCTGTATCGGCATTTGCTTAGCTATAAATCAATTGTTGTACTTACTCAAGGTGCACAGAGCCAAACTCTCATCTCTCTCCTCCTCTCCTCTGCATCAGCATTTGCTTGGCTATAAACAAGGCGCACAGTATCCCGGGATAGTGACCTACGATGCCGGTGGCCTTGGCCTTGGCATGCGCCTCGCAAGCTGCCACCGAGAAAGTTAAATTTGCTCAACAGGGCACAACTGCCACCTGGAGGGACGGACTTCGTAGCTGCGTTGTTTGTTGCTCATGTGCATAGAGAAAGACGGCGTGCGTAGCCGCGGGGGGGGTGATTCATGCGACTTAACAATCTAGGCGAGCGCCGTGAGGACAAGGAGCTTGTAGTACAGTGAACACGGGCTGTCACGGTGCTGCGGGATATCGGCACGAGGCTGGTTCGTGCGTGCTTGGTTGAGTGCCGAGGCGAGGAGGACGGATTGGTGAAGACAGGTAGGGAAGGGTGGCAACAACCATCGATTCAGGGACCGGAGGTATGGAGCCCGGCTCTTGAATAGCCAGTGGTCTGCGGCGAGTACTCTGGGCGGCGTCGCAAGCGAATGCTGCTGGTGACCCGCGGTTGCTGCGCCCGAGTCGCCTATTCGCGACGCCGCGCCAGCACCGGTGCCTGCTCCCTTCGGATTTTTTCAAGCCCCGAACACGACAAGCCCAACTCGAGCTATCGGTTTGAGTGAGAGCTCGAGCTCACGTGGCCCCTAGCTAGAGCAGGGGAGAAAATTAGAATTTTGTCCTTATGGTAGGCAGGCTTCGTTGGATTGCCATCTAAGTCTGTGAATTTCACAATGTATTTATAAAAGGTGTGCTTCAGTCTATTTTGCTATTTCTCGTTTTTTTAGTTCTTAAAATTTTTAGCCCACCGTTTTGCCTGTGCCTTCGTCTACCTTGTTCTTGTTCCCTCTTCTCAGGGTCACGCCATTTTCTCCCACGGACGACCGGTGTCCGGGCGGTAGCCCGACGCCGGCCGCCGCCACCGCCCAAGGGCCGCGCCTCCCACAGGAGCGCCGCCGCTCCCTGCGCGTGCAGCGGCTTGTCATGGAGGAGGTCCGGATCCTCAAGTGCGGCGAGGAGCTGCCCGCTCCCGCGCCGGTGCTAACAGCGCCTCCCGTGGCGCAAGCCTTGGCGGCGGCGGCAGTTGACCAGCGCGCCCTATGCTCCAGTGGCCTGATCAGGCCACAGGCGCCCGCTGTGGTGCCGACGAAGAATATAGTGGCCGCCCCCGCCGTAGCCAACGCGGCCGTCTACGCGGACCCGGCGTTTTAAAGGGATATATTTTTTTTTACAATACTCCCAATATTTAAACGGATCATTTCGTTCAGTGAGTCAAAGCACTCGATAGGTTTCCATCGGGATTGACCTTGACCGCTTTGGTGGTCAAAGATTTTCGCTTCAGGCCATGTTTAGTTCACCCAGAATCCAAACTTTGGCACTATATAAAAAGAAGATTTCCCGTCACATCAAACTTGCGGTACATACATGGAGTACTAAATGTTGACGAAATCAAAAATTAATTACACAGTTTGGTTGTACTTTACGAGACAAACATTTTAAACCTAATTAGTCAACGATTGAACAATTATTACCAAATACAAACGAAATACTACGTTACGCTACGGTGCGTAGCGGAATTCAGGCGGCGCCCTTTGGGGGCAACTAAACGCGGCCTCAAATAAACACATCCCGTTCTAATTTTGAGGGGTTTAAATACATTCGTCGACCAGCATCAGCCTCGCGTATCCTGCCATCGCCAACCCAAATCCCCCGCGCAATCAGCACACCAGAGCAGAGCTCCCCAAAACCAGGCGGGCCGATGGCTGCCGCCGTCACGGAGCTGGAGCTGGAGCGGCGGGTAATGGCGGCGGTGAAGGCCTCCGCAGAGCGCGGGGACCCGCCGCTTCTCCAGGCCGCCGAGGCCGCGCGCTGCATCCGCGAGGCCCCCGCCTCCGCTCCGGGCGGCCTCGCGCTCTCGCAGGCGCTGGTGACCAATCTGTGCTTCGCGCACAACACAGCCGCCATGTGGAAGCTGCTGGATCAGGCCATGTTGTCCCGCCTGGTGGACCCTCTCCACACCCTCGCCCTCCTTACCCCGAGGTGCTTGAGCGATTCGACCTTTCCCTTCTCCTTAATTTACGCGTCGTCTCCTTTTATCAAGTGGGCTTTCAGATGCTAAGTTGCCGGTTGTTGTGCCGGTTTGTATGATACTGTTGCTATGCAGGGTGGTGCCGAACCGGCGGGAGCAGCCGGAGGCGTACAGGCTCTACCTCGAGCTTCTCGGCCGGTACGCGGTGGCCCCTGTTTACCCGGAGCGCATGGAGAAGGATATGTAAGACCTTACTCCAGCACTATGCCCCGTTTGGCATTTTTTTGGAAAATGGCTTCATAAACAACTTTTTATGTGGAGCTAAGCTGTTTTGAAAAAATTATTTGGCAAAACAGCTTAGATGGGAGAGAGAAATGAGGGAGAGAGCTGGGATAAGCTAATGTTTCTGTGAGAGGGGGAGAAAAACAGTTTTACTCATGAAGCTCTTTTGGAAATGAGTGTTTGGCAAATAAAACAGCTCTGTGCCAAACACGTCAGAATACCCTAAACATTTTTGGTTTGGTGTACTCTGGATTCACGATACAACTTGCACACGTCAGAATTGGCAAAATTGCTTGTTGGATATCCCGGTTTAAATCTGTGCTGTATTTGCTGATGCTTTTCGGGGGACGTGGGCCCAACTTGACCCGGCTGCTAGGGGGTTGCCTGGTCATTTCCGTTAGATGTATCTGGAGGTGGAAACTAGGTAGGATGAAAACGATTGCAAAATTCTTGGTCTCGGTCTTGGTCTTCAAAGGAAAAGGCGCACCATTTCTAACATTGTGCTGTCGTGTTCTAGAAAAAAAAAACTTGTGCTGTGGTTCAAAGGCTTCACAAGTGTCATTAAGTTCCTTTCACATTGTGGTGGCTTTTCAAAAGCACCCCCCCCTACTTTTTGGGTATATAAGCTACTGAGTAAATATTTAAAACCTACAGTGTGATTGATCTAACTATCTTCAACTATAAATTGTTCCATCAATCTGCAGCTTTCTGATAATGGACTTCCAATCTTTAAAGTTCTGATACTCAGCATGTTCGCTCGTTGGTTTCAGCCAGAGCTTATCAGCCAGCCAACAGTGTTTTTCTCTCACAACAAATCAGCACCAGCCGGGCTTATCAGCCCATAAACCAACCAGCGAACAGGCTGACTGTGGTCAATCACCAATAGGCATGCAAAATTTACTCTTAGTTATTTGTTAAAATCATATTTTCTATTTGATTCATAGCCAAAAACCTTACTGCATAAGTGCATATCATAGCACATCACAGTTTGTCAGGAAACTGCAAACTATTCCTATGTGTACCAACATGGTCAAAGTGTCTGATTGAAATGTGTGCAAACACCAAGGGCTTGAGATGCCACATACCACTGAGGCGCCTATTTGTCAATTTGTCAAGTGCACGGTATTCTTTGTCATGTCAATGTATGCTGCCCGTCAATGTTGTGAGCTACTCCTAGTTAATATTTGGTAAATATGCTTTAGACTGTAGGTTCTTCCAACTTAGGTGGATTCACCACATAGCACCTGTAAGCTTGCCATAAAAGTCATGCTCAGATGTGTGCAATTGAAGCTTTTCAGGCCTTTATCCAGCTAATCTCTATCAGGTTTTTGAGAAAATATTTTCCAATATTTTAGCATTAACTTTAGATATGGCTTTATTTTTTACTGATTGTTATATTCATCTGCAATGTACTTTGTATCGGTTGCCTGGGCTGATTAGCATGTGATCTGGCAAGTCCTGATCTAGCAGCAGAACTATTCTAGGGAATAGAAGATGTTCTGAAATATTTTATTCGGTGAACAAATTTTCTGATACCAACATATAATCCTCTCAAATGTGCTAACTTTATATTTGCATTTACTATGCAGGTTAGCCAAATCTATTGACAGTGCTATGCAGCTTTCACATAGATTTGGTTTTCAACATTTGGATTTTGGACATACTGTTATTTTGTTTGTGTTGAGTCTTGTCAACATGCTGATTGATTGCATCTTAGATGATTGTGGATTGCCCATCACCTCCGCTGATGAACATGGCAACAGAAATGATATGAATTTTAATGGCAAGGGGAGATCACTTGACAGGGGAGATGAGCACCGTGAACATCTAAGAAGAAAGAATATACTTATGTCTATTGAAGTTGTTGAGAAGGTCACTGCAAACAAAATTGTCCAAGTCTTTCTGCGGCTTGTCAATCGTAACACGTATGCTGTGTTATCTTTGTAACTTTACTCTTTTCTGCCATGCAAATCTTGATCATTACAAGTTTGTAGATCCTCAGCTACGTACTCCCTGAAAAACTAGGTTTCATCCAAATCGGTAAAGTTTGCTTGTTTTTAGAAACATTTTTCACTTGACAAGCTTGGGGTTGGGGATGAAAATAAAAATTGATATATTATCATGTTATCAGATGGTAATAGTACTACCTTTGAGTTTTTGGCGGTATGTGCAATAGTGCCGGCTGCTATCTGTGTTTTGCCCTAGATGTGACATGCTAGCATGGGTGGGATTGAGAGCACTATTTTGACCAATAAAAAAAGAGAAGAACTTTGACCGTACTAATTTTATTAGGGAGAACATATGGGAAGTTGGTTCAAGCCACACATCATCTTAGGCACTTTCAAATGAGTCAATTTCTAGCTTGTCATGTCATGTTTGGTTCTTTCCCAGATACGAAACTTCATAAAACTTATGGCTTTGTTGTGATTCTAAACTTCAAGCTTATGACTTCATTTTAGAATGTGAGTATTCATGCATAGTTTGGGAGAACTTTGGTACAGGTATATTTGTTGACATTGAGCAAGCGTAACAAATATTTGCTAGAAAGCTTTTGGATTGTGATCCCCCTCTCCAGACCACTGAATCACTGTCCAAATGTTCTAGTGTATTGTGTATGTTAAACTGATAATACTTCCATTCCTTTTTGGATGTGGTAGGATAGACCTGAAAATTTCAATTGTCTACTTCGGAAACTTCATCTTATTGGTGCTGTTAAAAACAAGAACACTTTGTCTCCGTACAATCTGCTAGATAGCTTGATTATGAATATACAGAATGTCATAAGCACGGACTACCAATTAGACAGGAAAAGGCTTCTGGAAGTTCCTGTTAGCATACAGCCTTGCAGTTCAGCTGTTTACAGTATATTCAGAGCTGGAAAGGGATCTTGTTGGATTCCTTTTGACATGTTTATGGAGAATGCAATGGATGGGAGACATCTTCATGCTATATCATCAGTTGAATATCTGACAGGTGTATAAATGCATAAAGCTGTTAATTCTTGCCTTTCCCATAGCTTTAAAACATTTTCTAACATGAAACCATTGGCTGACAGAACTATCCAAAACACTTCAAGTGTTGAATCGGGCAACCTGGCAAGAGACCTTTCAAGCTTTATGGATTTCGGCTTTGCGGCTAGTACAGCGAGTGAGATGACTTCAACCACAGTCTATATGTATTATTTTTAAATAAAGAATAATAAAAAAGAAAAAAAAGTATTTACTTATGTTGTCATTTGACATATGCTCCAAACACATACATTGCTACTTACTCCTTGCTAACAAAATGTGCTTAATAGGGCCCAGATGCTTCGGAAGGACCATTTCCTCGTCTTGATTCACGGTTGTGCATGTTGTTGGCTATTATCCCCTTGTCCATTGCAACTATTGTTAAGGAAGAGGTGGGCAATCTGGAAGGGGACACAACCTCTGTTATAAGAGGACAATTAGTGTCTTCACTTCAGATTCTGAGGCAATTTTTCGGTCTTCTTTCACCACCTCCAGCAGCTGTACATTTGGCAAATACTGCAGCTAGAAAAGCAGCAGTTGTTCTGTCTAACCTGAAAAATGGGAGTGAGAACATGTGCAGTTCTTTCAAAGACAGTCCCTCTACTAAAGCAGGTTACCTATGAACTGATAGATATTTTTGACATTTAGTATCCTTTGGTTACAAAAGGGTACCACAGAAGCTAAAAGGCAAGTTTTATAGGACGGCGATTAGACCTGCTATGTTGTATGGTGCAGAATGTTGGCCTACGAAAAGACGACATATTCAACAGCTAAGTGTCGCGGAAATGCGTATGTTGCGTTGGATTTGCGGGCATACAAGAAGGGATCGAGTTCGAAACGATGATATACGTGAGAGATTAGGGGTAGCGCCAATTGAAGAAAAGCTTGTCCAACACCGGTTGAGATGGTTTGGACATGTGCAACGGAGACCTTCAGATGCACCGGTGCGTAGTGGAATCCTAAGTCAGGATAGTAACGTGAAGAGAGGCAGAGGAAGACCGAAGTTGACTTGGGTAGAGGCAATAAAAGGAGACTTGAAAGGATGGAATATACCCAAAGACTTAGCCTTAGATAGGAATGCTTGGAAGACAGCTATTCACGTGCCTGAACCTTGATTGTTTCTGTTGGGTTTCAACTCTAGCCTACCCCAACTTGTTTGGGACTTAAAGGCTTTGTTGTTGTTGTTGTTGTTGTTGTAGTATCCTTTGGTTATATTGTTCTTTTCGCAATTATGAATTATCTAAATCATAGTTACGCTTCAAAATTGTAGTTGGAAATATGCTACATCTTATCGTGGAAGCCTGTATCACAAGGAACTTAATTGATACATCTGCTTATTTCTGGCCTGGCTACGTGGTCCCACTTAAAGAATCCTCTCCAGTTCAGGAGTCTCCATGGCCATCTTTAGTAGAAGGGTCTCCACTTATAGAACTTAAGGACGCCCTTATGGTTACACCTGCTTCGAGGTGATAAATCATAGGAATATACTAATTTTAGAGCTTTTTTTGGTTTTATGTCTGTTGACTAGCTTGATTCATGATCTCATTCCTATTTTGTTTTCTTAGTGTACCAGAGTTGGAGAAATTGTACTCTTTTGCAGTAAGTGGGTCACCGGAGGAAAAGTTGGCAGCTTCGAAGATTTTGTGTGGAGCATCACTTCTTCGTGGTTGGAACATTCAGGTATTATTCAATTTAAAAGAACCATATTGTAGTAATGTTCTACAGAAGAATGTAACATGTTTGCGTGCAATTTGTTTTTCTGCTTAGGAACATGTTGTTCAAATGGTGCTTAAGTTGTTATCGACATTCCTCCCTCTGGATTCTGGACCAGAAGGGCGATATGTACAGGACATGCCTATGCTACACACTCTTGTATCAGGAATTTCTTCTATCGACACTGTTCATATTCTCTCAATGTATGGCCTGGTAAGAAACATCGCTAGCTTAATAGTTCAGCTCTATTCGTTTTGACTTAGTCATGGATAACATGGGGTTCTGATGAAGTTTGAGATGAAATCAAGAATAACCTAGAATTATATGTGTTCCTTGAAGCAGAATGAAAATATTTTTTGAACTAATCTTGTGTTAAACATATTTCTCAGGCATGGATAAGTAGACAAAACTTTGTCAGTCCATGTGCATCTTTCATATTTTCATATGTTAATGACTTGTGTTTACTTGTGGTTTTGAATTACGGATAGTATCTCTTTAAGTTATTGCTGCAACTGCAATCATGATGCCTTTCAAACCTACTGGAATTTTTTTAGTACATTCCTTGGATGCGGTTTAATGCTCGTTGGATGTCAGCACCACATGCTACATTGATAAAAAAAAAAAACTCGCCAGTGGGGAAAGACCACCCCTATGGTTTTTACTTTGAGAAGGAACCTCACTCAAACCGACGGAGAAAACCCTTGAACCCCGGCTTCACCCTACAGGCCCGCACTGTGACCTGGGCCGACCATAAGCCACTGGGCTGGTGACCACTTGCAACTACATTGTAAAAGAAAATTTACTTGCACGGAGTAGTAATTGGTTTACATGCTTTGGTGGTATATGTCCTGTATGAACCTGTTGTGGGCTTATGGTACCATTTCCCTTGTGACATGATATTTTGCAGGTGCCAGAAGTAGCATCTATGTTAATGCCTCTCTGTGAGTTTTTTGGATCTTTACCTCCATCTGATCATAGGAGTTGTAAATTTGAAGAGGCTTCTGTGTATTCAGTATTCTCATGTGCTTTCCTGTCCCTGCTTCGCTTTTGGAAATTTCATAGACGACCTATTGAGAATGCTTTATCAAGGCGTGGAGTCTCTGTTTGGTCAGAGCTCCATTTGGATTTTCTCTTGTTATTACGTAATAGTCATTCTTCTTTGAAAAATCTATCTAATGTTACTCAATCAAGCATATTTAAATTAGATACACCATTTCAAAAGCCAATGTATATTGACTCATTTCCAAAGCTAAGGGCATGGTACTTCCAGAATCAAGCTTGCATAGCCTCTACACTTTCTAGTGCTTGCAGCAGGACAACTGTGCTCCATGTGGCAAACATGATACTGAAAATTATATGCCATAATAAAGTGCCAAAAGGTGGTGTCCTGTCTGTAAATCTTCAGTCAACAGAAAATTCCGGTACGAGTAGTTCACCTTCAGGTGTACAGGAAGATATGTGCCAGTGGCCAACACTTCCAGCATGGGAAATTCTTGAAGCTGTTCCTTTTGTGCTTGAGGCTATGCTAACTTCATGCGCTCATGGCAGACTTTCATCCCGTGATTTGGTTACAGGTTATACCTCTGACTACAACTTCCATCTGTTTTGGTATTGCTCTACAAACTAATAGGGTGTTTGGTTTGAGGAATGAAGTAGTCCATCATCTTTTCACTCCTTACTTTTTTTGTTTGGTTTACGGAATGGAACTGAGTTGATCCATCACCACCTCATTGAAAAACAAACGGGCATAATGGTTTGGGGGGAACACTACACACCCATTGTAGGCATTTCATATATATAGCCATATCCGAGAGTTGTACAAGAATTGGTAATAATGGTAGTACAACAGTGTTAGCTAAACATAATTCCTAATACCCGTCTGCAGTCGTAGTGGTAGGATCACGGGTCCACAGACTGGAGCTGTACAGGTAGAGCCCTTAGTCATGATGTCTGCAAATTGATGCAGTTGAGGGACCATGGAGGACACGGACATGGCCCAAGGCGACCCTCTCTCGGATGAAGTGGATGTTGATCTAGATGTGCTTGGTGCACCGGTGATGGATGGGTTCGACCACTGTTGGGCGAAACAATCACTCAAGCATCATTGAGTAGAATTAACTCAATTGGATAAAATTTTCATGTCCGGTACAGTACATGTCAGAGGGTATTTATAGGGGCGAGAACCTTCGACTATTCTATTACAATTGCGTTTTTGCCCCTGGATTAGCTATTACACTCGAACCATTGCTTTTTCTATTCAACGTTTCTACTTTGTCCATCTAGCTTCGCTGAGATGAGTCTTCGGGATGAGGCTTCGTGGCCTCAACCTGTGTTGGCTTCTTTTCTGTTACTTTTGACTTCGCTTCATCATCGCTAAGTGTGTCCATCGGCTTGCCCATCGCCTTGGACTTCGTCCCATTGTCTTCGTCTTTTCCCTTTTTGGCTTCGTCAAATACCTCCGAAGGTTTTGAACAGCGTGAAGTCATTTCTGTGCAACAAACATGATTGCTATGAAGACAACACATTGGTTAAAGTTTGTTAGTCAAATTCGGGACCTGTGTTGTCCGAGGTTGAATCCCAACAACCACCATGTAGAAAGGGCTCACGTTGTCACATTAGACAATCATCATTGAAAGGAATCGAGATGTGGAGCTCTTGAAGGAGTTCCCGTGAGCTGCTGACAGATCAAGAATTCGGCGCGTGGCGACAATGCGATACTCGCCTCCTCCAGCGCTCCAGTGGTGGAAGACTAGGACACTAGGGTCGTCTCCAAGGAAGATGAGCCAATGTCGGAGTATGCATTTAGGGAGGTGGCTGGATCGACGCCAATGTGAAGGCATGCGAGAGTGAGCCCTTCACAAAGCGGAGGATCTGCTTGAACTGTGGTGAGATGAGGCTCGCTAGGATGAGATGCATGAACAGAGCAAAACTGCATACTTTCGGTTGCGTTAGGGAGATGTCTTGGAGTGCACTAGCAAGGCTTCAATACTCCGAGGCATCGGCGATGGGGACTCGATCTATGATCGACAACTTGGTCCAGTGTCCACCGGTGTCATTGTCATTGTCGGCCAACATGCTAGAGGAGCTCGACAACAGCATCTGGCATGTGATAGGAATGGCGTCCACCGGAGTGCGTGATAGATGTCGAGGAAGTGGTGCAGGTCCCTGAGGTCCGTCATGGCAAACTCCAAGTGGTTCCAAGCACGGTGAGCCTGCTTCAGACCGTACGACATAGTCAGGGGCAGCAGGGTTGACGAAGCCTGACGGTTGTTGACAGTACACGGTTTCCTCCAGATGTTTGTGAAGAAAAGGCGTTCTTCACGTCCAATTGGTGAATCGGTGTAACACCCTAGAGTCTAAATGGCTCAGATCTACTCTACACGCTGAGTGAAACACATCTACCACCATCTCACTTACGCTTTCGTCCTCGCTTCGCGTTAAAGGATTAACCCGGGGATGGTGGGATGAACTTTAGAAGCCTTATATGTTGGTCTAACACACTCTAAACAACTAAGGTGAGACTAAACCCCCCACAATATCTCATTAACATGCACATAGGCCAATATGGGCCAAATTCCAAACTGGGCCGGATGTCACATACACCCCCCCTCAAAGGGTCCGACGTCCTCGTTGGCCCAACACACCCACAACTGGGCAAACGATGACCGGGAACGTTCCCTCTTAGCACACACGACAAATGCGCCAGTCTTTTGCACACATATGCCACACATGCACCTGCACGCCTACGCGCCGCAATGAACCCCATGTCCGCCCACGACCTCGCACGCTGCGTCAGGGTGTGATGGTCGGCTCCGATACCATATGTGACGCCCTAAAGTCCGAACGGCTCAGATCCAATATACACATTGAGTGAAACACACCTACCACCATCCCACGTACGCTTTCGTCATCGCTTCGCGTAAAAGGATTAACCCGAGGATAGTGGGATGGACTCTAGAAGTCTTATATGTTGGTCTAACATACTCTAAACAACTAAGGTGGGACTAAACCCCCCATAATATCTCAATAACATGCACATGGGCCAATATGAGCCAAATTCCAAACTGTGCCGGAGGTCACAATCGGCCAGGAGCACAAGGTGGCGATGCTGAGGACGGCCTCCGGCTTGGCAACCGGACTGAAGGTCTCATCGTAGTAGATGCTGGCCTGCTGCTGAACTACCCAACGGGCCTTAGGCCTTGTGGCACGCAGGTCGTAGGAGAGCTGTCGGAATGGAACTTGTGCTCCACTTGCCTGTCACGACGGTAGCAAGGGGGGAGGCACCATGCGCCTAGTGCCGTTGTCGATGAGGGCCTTGTACTTGTCTGCAATTGCACTATGCAGTGTTCAAAAGAACTTTGTTAAATGCTCGCTTAGGCATGGTTAAGCACTAGGTGGAGACCTAGTGCGTCGCCTAGGCCATAGGCGTCCAATTAAACATAGAATGAATTGTCAGAGCCCATGGATAGTGAAGAAAGGAATAGAAGAGTGGAGATTAGGATGGCAAAATGGTTTGTTGTATTGTGATTCCGTCTATGCCTACCTCATGGTGTCCAGGTCGCTTGATTTTGCTTACCCTCTTCTCGATTTAGCACCAGGGAGCAGCATAGACGCATCGGAGACCTACGCCGGCACAAAGACGGTGTGCACCTGTGGGTATGGCCTGACAACACTATGGGCCAGTGAAGCCCAAACTTGCCCCACAAGGAGAGGAAGAAGGGAGACCATCGGTTGAAGCAAGCATGTTTCAACTCAAGGGTCCTCGAACCATGGGACTTGATGGTGATCATCGCAAAGGGGGTGAAGAAGATTGGTGGTGTCGTCTCTGAGTCATGCGGCAGGGAGCCTGAGGTGTTGGAGCCGAGCATGCCGCTGGACGTGGAGGTGTTCGTCCACATGGCGAGGGAGGTGAGGTAGTGGCGGCGTGGCAGGAAGTTGGCGCCGCCAGCTAGGGTTTGGGAGGTGGGAGGAGGGGGGACGATGCGGCTATGTTTGGGAGTTAGCGGAAGGGAGTAAGTGGTCGACGCCTAGCAGGACGCGACAACAATCGAGTATCATCGAGGATCGACCGCAGGGGAGGTAGTAGCTATCGACGTGCCTGATCTGGGGGGCGGGGCAGCGGTGCTAGGGTTTGGTTGGTGGGCGAGAAGACCTAGGCCTGAACTCGTGATACCATGTAGAACAAGCGGGGATAATGGTTTGGTGAACACCACACACATATTAGGGTGCCTTTCATATATATAGTCATATATTTACGAGAGTTGTACAAGAAGTACAATATAACAATGTATTAGCTATACATAATTGCTAATGCTCATTTTTCACACATTTGTACTTGTTTGCTATCAATCAGTTGAAAGACCTTTTCTTGTGTGTCCTCGGCAGGTCTAGAAAGAGAAAAGAAAAAGATTTTTTTTCTTCGATTTGCGCATCTTTCGCTCATCTGGTTTTCCCGAAAGGAGTAGGAATGTGATTCCAATGAGTTTTTTTTTAATGCTTTGAAACAGTAAGAGATGTCTTGTTTCTAATAATTAGTACTAGCATGAGAAATTGAGTAATTTTACCAAATTTGAGGAATGAGCTCATGATGCACCATCTCATCTAGAATGAGGTGGTTCCTCAAACCAAACACCCCTAAGTGTTCCATATGAATCTGGACATTTTTTAATTTCTCCAGTTTGGAGAATTGATTTTCATTCCATGTCAATCTCAACTATTTGCCACTGAATGATTGGACAAAAATGCCTATCAAAAGCAAAAAAGGGGAGCATTTCTGTCCATTTTGTCCAAGGATTTCATTGAACATTTGCAACTTTTAAGTCTAGCACATGCACAGTTTCCATTTGGACTAAGTTTTCTAAGTTCTGCCAACCTTATGTAGCACATGCACAATATATTGAGCACTATGCAAGGCGCAGAAGGTCATGGGGAACTTCGTTGCTCCTATGACAGTTCTCGTTCTTCCTGTAATTGTCCAATGATCTGGCCAGCCTGCTTGGTGCACTGCCTTGCTTGCCTAATCACTGCCTATGTGGGCAACATACCTAAAAAAGTTTGGCAGCTGAGTGACAGACAGCGCCAAGGTTCAGTCTCAGTCACCTGCTCTTAGAACACTGCTTGAGTTTCAAAGTTCCTTACTGTATTTATCTTGACCATTATATATTTGTAGGTAGAGCTGTAGAGGCTTACTTTATTGTACTGCAGTAAACAACCAGTCTTTTTTTTTTCTCAGTTTTGCTCTCCAACTGTCCTTGCATACTTATTAGCATATTACCATTGTACTTGATTTCAGGTCTAAGAGATCTTGCAGATTTCTTGCCTGCTTCACTTGCTGCTATTGTCAGCTACTTATCTGCAGAAGTCACTCGTGGCATATGGAAGCCAGTTATGTTGAATGGAGTGGACTGGCCAAGTCCAGCTGCAACTCTTCCAGTAGTGGAATCGGAGATAAAAGAAGTTCTTGCATTTGCTGGTGTTCATATCAATATCTGTCCACGACCACGTATGTTAATGCCTGTTTGTGTAATCTGTTCATTTTTGTTCTTTAGATTTACATTATCACAATCTATAATTTTCAGTATTTAAGATAGTACTAACTTTTCTCAGGCCAATATCTCATATCACACTCTTAACTGGGCACTTAATCCTTCTACAGGTTCTGTGATGCCAATGCTTCCATTGCCAATAGCAGCGCTAATGAGTTTGTCAATAACAGTCAAGATGGAGGAATTCAGTCACCTACAAGGCATCATTGGCCAAGGAATTGAAATTTGTACAACATCTAGTTCATGGCCCGCTGCACAAATTATAGGTGCATTGTGGTCCCAAAAGTAATCGGCGGTGGCATGATTTCATCATCCTGACTTGTTCGCAGTCCCCCTTCACTCGAGATAACACCGCGGTGGCACAACTGATCAGGAGTTGCTTCTCTTCTTTCCTTGGGCCTTTGGTTGATGGGCGCTCCTGCTTCGTAGCAAACAGAGGAGTTGCTAATCTGCTGGGGCAGACTTTTGATGAAAAAGCCCACAGGCTTGCTGTAGCACCAGGATTTCTTTACATGAGATCTTGCTGGTTATTTCCAAACAACAGCTTTGTTTGTGAAGAGATTTTGGAGGTGGTCATTGAGAGAGCCCATGCGATAGCAAATGCTTGTAGTTCTGATAGACCTGCTCGTTTGAGGTCAGACTCTTTGCCGCTATCAGCTGCATCATCCTTGGTAGAGCAGATAGCATCACTTGCAGCAACGATGCTTGTCATGCTGGTGGGGTGAATTTGATTCGTCTCCTCTACGAGCAGATTATCCCCACTCTTCTGCTTTCAGGTGGAGAAGCTAAGCTTGGTTCTGCTGGTCAGGTATGTAGCATAATCGAAGGATACACATTAGCCTATGTTCTCCTCTTTTCGGGTGCAAGCATCTGGGGAGTCGGAGAAACGTCGCCAGCTTACACTTCAATATACACATCCAAAAGGCAACGGGTTGTTGATAGACACTTGGAGTTCATGGCCAGGGTAATGGAGGGTAACATTGTGCTGGGCTGTGGCGATGCCACATGGAGGTCCTATGTTCTCTGTTTTGTCAACTTGCTGGTCAACTTTGTGCCCACATGGATTCCTGAAGTGAAGCTAAAGACGCTACAGAAATTGGCATCTGGGCTTCAGAGATGGCACGAGGGTGATCTTGCCCTCTCTTTGCTTGAGCGAGGGGGAACCAAAACCGTGACTTCAGTAGTTGAATCCCTTTTGCAATAAGCTGGTGCTCAACTGGCAGTATAGTTTTCTACGACAGCTTGGTCCATACTACACATATAACATGTTATTGATCTGAAAGTTCAGTCATCAGAAAAATAACAGTACAGTTCTACCGATGATTGTTCATATTGTCGGTCAGCTAAAGAGATGGCCAGCAGTTTTTATACTAGTTACGTGTCAGTGTGTAATTAATGAACTTGTCATTTACTGGCAGTCGTCCATTTGGGGTGTATAAAATTCATGGAATAATTGGAAAAATTCAGTATTAGAAAACAGTATTGCTGGGAACCAGGCGTCCATTCCATCGGACGACCCGTGCAGATGTGCCGTTAGCCTTTTTTGTTTAAACTGAGTATAATCTCATTACTCACCGGCTAACAAATCGTTAGCAACAATTACATGAACACTTTTAGGGATGGAACTCATGACTTGTTCCTTCCCAGGATTACACAAATGACCCAACACAGCTAGCTCATGAGCGACTTTGTTATAATCCCTACTCTTAAAAAAGCACTCGAAACTAATAAAACAAGAAGACTAGGGACTTCATCTCCGCAATTAAAACACCCACTACAGTCTCATCATAATCATTTGTGTTTAGCGCTTGAATCACCATCTTTGCATCTATCTCGGAGATTAACCGGCCAATACCCAGATCAACTGCAGCCTGTACTCCTTGGAGGCAGGCAATGAGTTCAGCTTGAAATGCATTTAAGAGACACTCTATCTTCCCTCCTCCTGACAGTATCGCATCCCCATCGCAATCTCGGATCAAATAGCCTCAACTCCCTTCCTGTGAATTCGGCAAAAAAGATCCATCACAATTTAGCTTTAAAAAGCCTTGTGGGGGTTTCCTCCAATACTCCTTTCTTCGGTGCACACTGTTGCCCATCAAAATGTTGTCGGTCACAATTGCAGTGTTCTCTTCTGCATATAATCGGATACATCGAGCAAGGAAATCTGCTCCTCGTCTCTGACCTTCTTCTCTAATTATATTTCTCTCCTGCCAAATATACCACATGGTGATAATTATCAGGAGCTTATTTTCTTCCTTAGCCTTCAGAATTAGTCCGACTGCGTCCTTGACCAAAACAGTAGTCACCAACTCCAGCCTGAAACTCTCCAGGTTCAGATTCCTCCAAACCTCTTTGGCAAGCCAGCTCTTAAAAAATAAATGTCCACCATCTTCATCGGCTGAATCACAAATTGTGCATCTTGTTTCAATTATCATCCCACGCTGCACCATATTTCTTCTTGTTGACAACCAAAATTGTCCATTTTATGAAGTTTTCCAAATGTGAAACGGACTACATCCTTGCGCTCCTCTCGTCGAGATGGTCAAAAAACATATATGGAACGTCCAATTTGGAGTTTGGATAAAGGAGTTATGCCCCCGGGAAGATTGCTCTGTTGCCGGCAGTTCCGACTGTCGAAAGTTCCGATAGGTGTCAGAACTTCTGGGAAGCCTAAAAAAATCCACTCGGATGCTCGGGGTTATCCCCACATCGGACGTTCCGACAAAGGTCGGAAGTTCCGGCGGAGGTCAGAACTTCCGGCATACCTAATTAAAAACCCTGTTTGGATCTGGCCTTTTGGATTCCGATCCGAACTAATCCAAACTCATGGGAAACTTGGAAAATAAGTCTTGGAGATATTTTCTACTGGGATAAGACCACCCCCCTCGATATATATGAGAGGATCATGGCCGATTGAGTTCCCATCTATCCAATCGTCAAACAAATCAATCTACTACATCTACTCTAACCCTTTTACCCTCTTCTCCAACTCCATGCTGTTCATCCCTTGATCCGACAACCAAGAATGGCGTATTAGGCTTGCCGGCTGACCTAGGGCAACCCGGCAACGTCTTTGCCCTGATGGGGTCCCTCCCAAGCGAGAGCTTCGACGATTTCTTTGCTAGTTTGCCTGAAAACTGGCCGATTCTTCGTCACGCAAGCACGTTGGTTATCCTTTGGTGGTTTGCTTGTAAACCTCTCTGTTCTTCACCATGAAAGAGTGACATCCTCACTATGTTCTTCGGTCTATAGCGGCCCGGGCGTCCAAGGCCCTGTTGGTGTGTGATTCGGATCACTTCCGACGTCAACACACTTTTTGACGACTCCGCTGGGGAAGATTGGTTCGGCTATCTCTTATAGCCGATCTCTCTGACCTAGCTTTACTCCTCGCTAATCTATCTTCTCGTGCTCGCCATTACCATTGCATCTAGCCCAAAAGGGCGATCACATCTGGTTTTGGCCCCTTGTGATCTCGTTTGCAATTTTGCAACGTGTTGCACTTGCTATTGGAAAATTCAGCAAGGCAGTCAAGTTCTAAATCATGGAGTACCAAGGTGATACATCACAAAACTACTACAATCACCTCGAGGTACAACTTGCAAATGCATCTTATGATCCTACTGGTTATTTTGCAAGTCATATAAATTCTCATGTTGATGTTGCTAGTCATAATGATACTAGATATGTTACATCGGCTAATAATTTTGTTAATGATCCTCATCATACACATCATAATTATGAATATTATGGTCAAGAGCCGATGTTACTATGAATTCTTTGAATTTTGATGCTACTAGCAACATACAATTAACTCATCGGCTATAAGTTTATAATATGTGGTTTCACCACAAGACATGACGATGAATGAGAGAGTTGGCTATGACAATGCCAATTACTTAGCCAGTTACTCTCAAAATTTAGCACCATATGCAAATATTGAGGCTCATAATTCGTCTTCATATGTTACTCCTAACATGAGCCGAATTAATAAAAATTCAGTAGGGTATGTAAGTGCTAATACTCATGATTCGGCTTCACGTGTTACTAGTAACCACAGCCGAATCAATAAAAATTCAGCACCTTATGCAAGAATCAATGCCCACAATTCGGCTTCGAATTTTGCTCATGACCATAGCCGAACTAGTGAAATTTCAGCAAGGCATTCGAATGCTAAAACTCATGAATTGGCTCCACATATTGCTAATAATTATAGCCGAATCAATAAAAATTCAGCAATGTGTGCACATGCAAACAATCATGATTTAGCTTCATATGTTGCTCTCAAATCAAGTCGAATCAATGAAGATTTAGCCCATACTAGAAAATCCATATGGATCCTCTAATTGGAAGGTGTCCGGTTATCATAGACCGTACCCATTATGCTATGATTACTTGAAAACTCCTGATGGTTGGTGGATACCAGATTTTTATGAATTTAGTGGTGAAGATAGTAAGACCACCGTGGAACATATAAGTTTATATCTTTCACCGCTGGGTTTTGCCAGTAAAGAAGATTATATGAGAGTGCGAAATTTTCCTTTATCTCTTACTGGTATTGCCTTTGCATGGTTTACATCTTTGCCCCGATGTATTGTTGGTTCATGGTCTCAATTAGAGGAGCAATTTTATAAATACTTTGGAAAGACTAATGACAAAAGACCGATTACAATTGAGTCATTGGCTAAAAGAGGATTGCTAGTGGGCATGAAAGAAAGAATTGATTCATATGCAAGCAAAGGTTCGGCTACAAAAGCCGAACAACAAAAAAATCCTTTCCAAATCGATCACATCTCAAAAAATAAGTTTTGTTACAGAAAAGCATGAGAAGTGTAAGAAAATAGCTAGACTTGATTTTTCAGGAGCTAAAGGGGCTGTACATTTATCTAGTGATTACTACATCATTGATGGAGATCAAGCCCCTACAAGCAACAAAGGAGGGTTGCCTACCTGCTTAGAATCGGCTGAGCCGACTTCACAGTCGGCTGAGCCGATTGCTACCTGCCCTGAGTCGGCTAGGCTGACTTCCTAGTCGGCCAGGCCGACTGCCTCTGCCGCTTGCCCTGAGTTAGCTAGGCTGACTGCCCCTGCTAGTGCCCAAGTCTACCTAGCCGATTTCCAGTCGGTTAAGCCGACTTTCTCGGTACTGGCAACCGTCGATGCATCTTCAGATGATTCGTCACCTATTGTTGATCGTTCTCTGGAGATGAAGAGCAACATTATTCAAATCAAGGACGTGCACTTCTCCAACATGATCAACAAGGTACAAAATACAAATAATTTGCTCAAATTCTAATCCGGTCATACTATTTCAATCTCTACATCTATTGGTGATATCCTTGGAAGTAGTTGTAAAAGACCGATTGAGAATGGCATTTTATTTGTTGATGATAAAATAAATTCAAATTCTATCGGCAAGCACATTGTGCCATATGGTAGGCCAATAGTGGTAGTTCGCCAAAGCTAAAGCTTCCCAAAAGTAGCTGCAAAGGTGTGGCCGAATGGATTGATGTCAAATCTGATCCATTCGTTTGCCTAGCTTTAAGGCCGACTCCACAAAAGAATCAGCTAAAGAAATCAAAGTACACCTTTGACTTTACTTTTTGTAATCATGTCTTTGATATCTTGCTCAAGAATAATTTTATTAGAATCATTGGTCACAATACTTTGCCATCTATTCAAAATTTAGAAGAGCTTACATATTGCAAATGTCATAATTTTTTTGATCATAATACCTCTAGTTGCAATATGTTTCGTCAGGTTATCCAATCAGCCATTGATAAAGGACGATTGAGATTTTGTGAAGCTCAACAAATGAACCAATTGGATTCAATTGGTCTTGATGGCAAACATATTTTGAATCAGCTTGCATTAGCCGATTCACTCAAAGCTCAAGGCTTGAACGCCCAAGAGAGAGATGTGAAGCCCTCAAGTGAAGACAAGGTTGTTGTCTATGAATTGAAAATAGGAGACATTCCAGAGGACAACAAAGTTTTACAATTCCAGAAGACACTAGGGGCAGATGAAATCTCTCCAACTAAAGCAACGGCCGATCGATCCCGTTGAGCAAGGAGAATCGGCTAAGGATCCTCCTTTGGAGTATGTCTGTCAAGATAGAGAAAAGAAGGAGGATGCCCATAAAGTTGATGGAGGTAAAGGCTATGACAAACAAAGAAGTAGAAGGCCAAAGCTTAGCTTCGAGGAACT